TAAAATCAAAAATAAGATTAATACTAATAATAGTAATAGTAGTAATAACAGAAATAACAGTAATATTAATTAATAGTAAAAATAATAATACTAGTAATACTAGTAGTAATAGTAGTAATAGTAATAATAGCAGTAATAGTAATAATAGTAATAATAATAGTAATAATAGCAATAGTAATAATAGAAATAATAGTAATAATAGTAATAATAGCAATAATAGCAATAATAGTAATAATAATAATAGTAATAATAGTAGTAATAATAATAATAATAATAATAGTAATAATAGTAATAATAGTAATAATAGTAATAATAGTAATAATAGTAATAATCGTAATAATAGTAATAATAGTAATAATAGCAATAATAGCAATAATAATAGTAATAATAGTAATAATAGTAATAATAGTAATAATAGTAATAATAGTAATAATAGTAATAATAGTAATAATAGTAATAATAGTAATAATAGTAATAATAGTTATAATAGTTATAATAGTAATAATAATAATAATAATAGTAATAATAATAATGATAGTAATAATAATAAAATATTGGCCTCCTATGATAGCTTCGGCGGGGGTGGTTCGGAAGGTCGGATAGGTTTGCCCCCCCCATGAATTGGCACCTGAATCAGCATTGTGTCGGCCCAAGCCATCCCAGATGGGTTCCAGGTCGGCTGTCTGCGCACGCATGGATGCAACAATCCATTGGCGAACCTGCCTGTGGGACCTGACCGTGCTGGGAGTAGACTCACGGTGAGCAAGGCAGTGGTAAAGGCAGTTGCCTTCCCCAACGTTCTCCACGATTCTCGCGCCGGGCGGCATCCAGTCGTTGGAGTCCACATCCATCTGGAGCCGCGGCGTCATCCTCAGGCCGTTCGCGCTTCTTAGCCAGGAAGGAAGCTCTGGCTTTTCGTCACCACGGTCCTTGCGGCGCTCCCGCTGCGAGCGGCGGTCGGCAGCGACGGGGGGTAGGCAAAACAAAAGACTCAGTGCGGCTGCTCCGAAGCGGTTGTGACGAAGGTCCTTGGCGGCGCCTCGCTTCTTTGATAACAGAAACTTCACTGATATCGTCTTCACCATCCCAAGCGATGTCACGCTGCACTTTCTCAAGCGTGTCTTGCCTGGTGGCCTTGAAAAGCCAGACGGTGCCACGATGTCGGATCTTTTGTTGAATCTCGATACCCTCGAATCCAAGTCGCTGGAGCAAGTCCGAGATGTCACTAGCACACCAGTTGCCTCGAGCCCCCGTGAGCCTCCACGTGGCTGGTTGTGGAACAAATCGTGGATCCTTCGGGTCCAGTCTGATTCCAAGTTGGTGCGAACCTAAGGCCACACCATCACTGCCCGCCTGTTTCTGAACACGACCGAGGTAGGTCGGCCAATCTTCATCGGGAGCATACTTCAACCATTGCACCTTGGTGGGGATGCGAAGGCCAAGCGAGGCCTTATCCCCCAACACGTCAGTGAACCAAGGGCCGATAGTGCAGGAGTTAGCCTGGGAAGCCGCCGTTGAAGAAGCCGCACAAGCCGAAAGATGAAGGCTCGAAGGAGTCGAGCATTCCCCGCCGCCACGTCCACCAATGGGCTTGGCCGGCGCCGCAGAAAGCCACAACTGTGCGATGGTGGCCTCCAGCATCGTCACGACCTCGTAATGCCCACCCTCGTACTTGAAGACCGCAAACTTGCCCTGCTCATTGCGGCTGGCGAACTTCACCACATTCTCAGGGCACAGCAGGAGGATGTTCAAATCCTGCGCCACACCCGCCGCGTACAGCTCGAGGAAGCCACCCCATTGCCCGGCACCTTTGATCTGTCGGCAGTAGTCGGCAAAGGTGCCCTGCGAAGCAGAGCCATCGGGAAGAAGCTTGTCCCAGTGAGCAACGTTTTGGCAAATACAGGGGTCGCTACAAGATGCTTTGCTGGCTTGTGAGCCAGCCGGTGGTATGGCGGCGGTCAAGGTGCGACTGCCCAGACATCAGTGCTTTGTTTCGCAGTGCTCAGGTTTCCCTCGCAATGCTGGAGTGCTGAGCGGTGATTCCGCCCCGGGCCCCAGATGTGGAGAGAGCCCACTTGAACAGTAGGGCTTAGGGTTTAGGGTTTTAGGGTTTTTAGGGTTTAGGGTTTAGGGTTTTTAGGGTTTAGGGGTTTAGGGATTAAGTTTTCGGGTTTAGGGTTCAGCAGCTCCGGATCGAGCAGTTTTAAAGTAGAGTTGTGTTTGCGGTTTGGAAATAACACCCACCCACCCTTAGAGAATCCCATAGCATTGAGAAAATGCAAGTTGCACTTCTTTCACAGCTTAAAACTACTATCACCGAACGTTAGCACAACATCGACATCGTTAGCATAAACCAACCCAAGCTTCAAAAAGTCGCTGTCGAGTTTTCACAGCGTAATCGTTTTATGAATATACACCAAAATCATGCAGAAACTATGCAACAGACACATCTTCTGCACTACCACTAAGCGAAACACCATGGGTGGGCGGCTTAGATTTCTGAGAAAATCATAGCCCCATTTTGTTATATAATGTCCTTTGTTGTCCATGTTGCCGTCAAGGCCCGGACGGCTTAGCTCTCTAAGAAAATAATAGCCCCATTTTGTTAATGTCCTTTGTGGTCCATTTTGCAGTAAAGGCCAGGACAGCTTCGCTTACCAAAAAAGTAATAGCCCCATTTTGTTCATGTCCGTTGTTGTCCATTTTGCAGTCATTATGCGTTGTTGCACCTACACGTAGGAATGGATTTGCTAACCGATTGTTGGTGGCACTTGCTTGGGAATGGATTTGTTAACCGATGTTTGCGTTGTTGCACCTACACTTAGGAATGGATTTGCTAACCGATTGTTTCGCTTATTTTGGCGCTAGGAAGCAAAAACCTGTTGCAGAATTGTTTCGCTTATTGGGGCGTGAAAAGGAAAACCTCTCGCAGAATTGTTTCGTTTATTGGGGCGTTAGGAAGCAAAACCTGTTGCAGAATTGTTTCGCTTATTGGGGCCTGAAAAGGAAAACCCCTCGCAGAATTGTTTCGCTTATTGGAGCGTTAGGAATGGAAATCTCTTGCAGAATTGTTTCGCTTATTGGGGCGTTAGAATGCGTTAGAAATGGACATCTCTTGCAGAATTGTTTCACTTATTGGGGCCTGAAACGGAAAACCTCTCGCAGAACTGTTTCGCTTATTGTGGCGTTAGGAATGGAAATCTCTTGCAGAATTGTTTCGCTTATTGGGTCGTTAGGCAGGAAAACCTCTTGCAGAATCAACCGATGTTTGCGCTGTTGCACCTACACTTAGGAATGGATTTGTTAACCGATTGTTTCGCTTATTTTGGCGCTAGGAAGCAAAAACCTGTTGCAGAATTGTTTCGCTTATTGGGGCGTGAAAAGGAAAACCTCTCGCAGAATTGTTTCGCTTATTGGGGCGTTAGGAAGCAAAACCTGTTGCAGAATTGTTTCGCTTATTGGGGCGTGAAAAGGAATACCTCTCGCAGAATTGTTTCGCTTATTGGGGCGTTAGGAATGGAAATCTCTTGCAGAATTGTTTCGCTTATTGGGGCGTCCGTGTCCAGCTAGCATCCTTGCTTTTGCTTGGGCACATGGCATGGGCTTCCGACTAGCATCGTCACCATTCAAGCATTCTTCACTCGTTAAAAGATACTTTAGTCGCAACGACTTACCCTAGTCGACTAGGCCAGGGCTGACCTTTGGCTAAAGCTGAGCTGACAGCTGAGCTGGGCTGGGGCTGGGTTTGCCTTCGTCGATGAACGGACGTGCCTTCGTCGACGAACGGATGTGCCTTCGTCGACGAACGGACGTGCCTTCGTCGACGAACGGATGTGCCTTCGTCGACGAACGGACGTGCCTTCGTCGACGAACGGATGTGCCTTCGTCTGCAAACCTTGTCGACGAAGGCAAATCCTTCGTCATGTGCCTTAATCGACGAAGGACGTGCCTTCGTCGACGAAGGATGTGCCTGGGTCGACGAACGGACGTGCCTTAGTCGACGAAGCCCTTCGTCGACGAAGGCACGTCCTTCGTCGACTAAGGCACAAATCTGCCGTTTTGCCTTCGTCGACGAAGGATGTGCCTTGGTCCGCGAAGGACGTGCCTTCGTCGACGAAGGACGTGCCTTGGTCGACGAAGTCATTAGGGTCTAAACTACCATTGAAAGAAAGGTTTAGGGTTTAGGCTTAGTTTAAGGTTTAGGGGATGATGTTGTCGTCGAACAGCAGAGTCGGGTAGGCGATCTTCATCTCCTCGCTATGCTACACTTGAACCGAGCCGCGATCCTTACAGAAAGCACGGCTCGTCTGACGAAGGTGACTTACAAGTCCAGAGAGGCCCCAGGCAGGGTCCGCAAGCCAAAGTCGCGTCTGACCCTGTCTCTCACCATGCACAAGTGGTGTAAGACAGCGTTGTCCCTTGCAGAGTCACCTGAAACAGGCCAGCCCAAACGTGCAGCAAGCGGGTCACTGGGCTCCACCGGTCGTGTGTCTGTGAAGCGGCTGCAGTGCCAAGCAAGATGCACCCATCCCGGAGTAGTCGCGGTACCGCAGTACGGACACTTCTGCAGCTCATCGACATTTCCAAGAAGATCCCGGAAGGCAGCCCCATTGTGGCTTTCAGATCTAAAACGGTGCAGGTGGCTCCCTTGGAGGACGTGGAGGACGACCAGAAGACTTCGGCGCAGAAAAGAGCATCGGCGACCTCAGGTGGCTCCAGCAAGAAGGCTCAGAAGAAGTGATGTTTCGGCATCCGTGTGCAGTCCAGTGTGCTGCTACCCGCAGCAGCCATTGCTTGAGCTTGCAGTATCTGAAAGACTCCATTGTATTTATGTGAGGTCTGTTTCTAATGCATTGCGGAGAAGGATATGTACAATTGTTGCATTTTGCCCCTCCACAGCGTGGTAAGCAGCAAGCGAGTGAGCCCCTCCCGACAGCACAGCACGGCCGTCCCCAGAAGAGGTGCTGAAGGCCGCCCGCGCCCTTTTCAACAAGGCCGAATCAAATGGCCGGTGGCGAACCAACGTTTGATGAAGCACAGAAAAGATCCCATTTCATCAGGCGCCAAGCTTCCCTGAGCACATGCAGTGACTGCGCCAGCCATCTGCTCAAAGCACCCAAGCCAGGACGCCAAGGCCACTCGAAGGAGCCGACCGAAGCGTGCACGTAGTGGCCTCTGGCCGCCGTGAAACCCAGAGCGCTCAAAGAGGACTCCAGGCAGTTCCACCAGACGCCTCCCGAAAGCGCCCTGCCCCGCCTGTGCCGATAGGCGATGCCTCTGGCCAGAGCACCGAAACTTCGGCACACCCCGACAAAAGCGATGTCCGTGATGTGCCCTTGAAGAACTTCCCACAGGTCACGGGAAGCGGACTTGTGCCCCCGAAGGAGAGTCTTGGCGAGCGATCCGAACTCTTTGCTTGCTCGAAACTCCCGAAGCCAGCAACCCCAAGCTCCAACAGAAAGAACTCTGCTGACAAAGAGCTGCTCCCTGAGTCGCAGTCCACGTGGCACCTTGCAGAGCCGCTTCAGTCTTTTGACTGCCTCCTCGCGCCGGCCCTCTTGAGAGGCGTGTTTCCCTCGCTGCAGGCGGTGAAAGTCAACGCCAAAAGCTCTGGCCTGGTCGACGATGAGGGTCGGCTCGAAGTGCTCGAGCAGCCCCTTCTTGTCCTTGAGGCGCTTGGCCACCAGCCGCGCCTTGTCGGAGTTTTCGTGGAGACCAAGACGGTCCGCCCAACTCTCCCACTGGTTCACAAAGGAGACCGCCGCTTCAACGCTCTTCACCACAGCATTGCGATCGTCAATGAAGATGCTGCATGCCATGCCGGGTGGCACCCTGATGCTCTCAACGGCAATGCGGATGAGCAGCGAGAAAGCGAGCGGCGCGAAAGGGTCCCCTTGCGGCAAGCTCCTCGTGCAAAGAGTGGCCGAGGTGTCCAGGTACTCGCCCAGCTGGCAAAAGCGCCGCTGCATAAGCCACACCAAGCCGAAGTACAGAGCCCAACGAGCTGGCAGGCCGTGCGACATGACCTTGATGGTGTGCTCCGGGTCCGCGTAGTCGAAGCCCTTCTTGAGGTCGAGGGACACCAAGATGGCCGCTTGCTCCTCCCATGCAGAAGCCAAATCACAGATTGCGGTCTCCAGACTCCGTTGGGCCAGCCCTCCGTGCATCTCATCGGTGACGACCTGAGGAATCCACTGCTGGCAGCCCCTGCTCCCGAGGATGGCGGCACTGATGGTGCGGCAAAAGGAGCTAGCGGCTAGCGATGCTGATCGGCCGCATGTCCTTTGCCTCAACATCGCCGTGGTCGCCGCCGCACTTTGGGAGGAAAACCTGACGGCACTCCGAAAAAGAGCGAGGCAAACTCCCTCGTGAAAGCCAGATGTCGAGCTGCTCGCCGAACTGGTGCCAGAAACTCTCCGGTAGCCACGTGAGCTCCTCGGCTGTCCAGCCGTCGAGCCCGGCCGAGCCATTCCGACCCTGGGCAGCGCGCCACAGGTCGGTAGCCGAAATGCTCCAGTTGCCTTCGGAGCGAAAGCCGCCCCGTGGCAGCCGACCATTGATCATGGCAGTTGCCTCCGGCACGGGCTCAGGTCTATGCCAAATAGGCCTCCATTGGTCCTTGATCGCCGCAAAGGCCTCAGTGACATCAGCGGTGCGATGCCAACAACCTGTGACATCCTTGTAGCGAATGCCCGTGGCCTGGACTGCAGGTTGGTCCTTATGGTCCTTGAGCCATGCGGTGCACCGATGACCTTGGTCCTCAATGTCTTTTCGCCAACGAAGGAGAGATGATCATCCCGAACTTTGGCAAGCTCGGCCGTCGCAGTTCGCTCCAGCTGCTCCCAGTCATGAACACGGTCGGCTGGCCTCGGTATGGTGCGGGGCCAAGTCCTCCAGAGTCGAAGCTCCAGCGCATGGTCCGGGTAACCCTGGGTTCGCTGGCGGATGCACTCACGAAGTCGCCCCAGCCACTTTGCCAAGCGCCTTTGGTAGAACGAGCTAACCTGGTCCTTGTTCATGACACATGCGCCGGCCGGAAACCGCGAGGGACAGGAGCCCTCACCCCGAGACCTGTGAGGGCCGAAGAAGCCCTGTGAGCCGCCCCGGCCTGAACAAAAGTGCTCTCGAGCTCAGCATTGGGTCGCTGCCATTCCATTTCGGAGTCGCCGAGGTCGATCGCCTGAAAGTTGAGAGCACTGGCCACGGAGTCGAAAATGCACCGGCTGGATCATCACACGGCCCCGATGCACTTCAACACAACAGTCGAACTCGAAAGCAACTGCCACGTGGTCGCCGATAACATCCTCAAGGAACCAGCCCTCGGCGTGCTCCAGCTCCATCCCAACTAGGTAGTCGATGGCACGCAGACCCCCCCACCTGGTAGGTCGAGGAGCTCCTTGATCATCACGAACACAATGAAAGTGAAGGTCCTCGCCCATGGTCACCAAAGTATTCTCCTCCGGCACCTGGTTGAAGTCACCCGCTATGAAGACCTGCAGCCTCCTCCGACGAGCAGCCTCAAAGGTAGCACCGAGGTATTCCTGAAGAGATGCGCCACTGGAGTGCGGTTGGAGCCAAAGGCTACACAACACAAAGGACTCGCAATCGATCACCACGGTCTCGAACTCCTCCTCGGCAGCGCTGCACACAAAGTGGGCCCGGATGTCCTTCCTGATCGCAGCGACCACACCCCCATGGGAGGCGGAGGGCCCTGAGTGAGTTCGTATCTTTTTTTTTTTTCCACGCACCTTTTTTGCGACAGCACCAAAGGTACTAGGTCCGGTCCCTGTGCAAACTGCTGTCTACGGGTTAGGCAGGGCGGGCTGGGAGGCGGCTGTTAGCGGGGGCCTGCAACCAGTGTGCGTCGGCCAGGAGCTCGTGCAAAGCGGGTGGGTCACCAGCAGCACCGAGCTCTGCGGCAGCGGGAAGCTCGAGCAGCGAAGTGGCGAAGGCTCGCTGCGCGGCAACGGAGAGGATGCCGCTCCAACGGTACACCCAAGCCGCTTGAGCAGCGCGGCGGACGGCGACAGGTGCGCTGGCTGCGCGGGCCTGCGCGAGAAGTCGGAGGAAGGTCGCGGCTTCCTCGTGCACTCCAGCGCCCACCAGTTTCGATGCCGAACACGACGAAGCGGCAGCGGCGAGCTCGAAACAGCTCCGGATAGGTGTGCTGGCGCTTGCGCTGCGCCGCGCGGGCTAACGCAACGCCCGGTTGCGCATCGGCCGCGGGCTGTGGCAGGCCGTCGCGCGTGAGCGGGGAAACCAAGGTCGCATCGACGGCGAGCTGAGCTCCGTGCCAGAGGGGCAGGCCATTGCAAACGACCTCGATCCTCCTGGCGTCGCTGACTGGCACATCCATGTTCATGTCAGCGACGCGAACATTGCGCGCAACACGCGCTCCGGCCTCGCGGCAGACACGAGCAAGGGCATCCTCGAGCGGTAGCGCCCGGGTCGGGAGGACACCCGAGGTGGCACAGGCGGCTCGGTGGTCGCCCAGAGGGTCGAGGCTGCGGCCGCAGCGGCACAAGTGCGGGGGCAGAGCGCCAAGGGAAGGCGCAGCCGTCGGAGCAGCAGGACCCGGAACTGTGCGCACGATAACCAAGGGTACTGAGGTGCCGCTCGAACAAAGTAGCTTCCCGTTCGTTGGCTCGGATCTCCTGCAGCATGATGGCGCGGGGCCTCAGCGCACAGATCGCCGCCGCAGCCTGGTTTGCATTGGTCAGGCCGTTGCAGTTGCAAGTGACAATCCGGAGTTTCAAGGCACGACTCGACGATGGGCCGGGGTTGGGTTCCATGCCCTGCCTAACTGCAGCCGCCCTTCTATCATCGAGGTAGGCCTTGAGCTTGACATTGTCCTCGATCGCACCAGTGTTGTTGCCAGGTCCACGTTTGGAGCCAAAGAGCACCTGCCGCAGCTCGCCCTGGTCGAAGAGTGTTTTCCTGCCCTGGTGGCCATTGACGGTCTTGAAAGAAGAGCCGCAAACTCCAGGGTGGCAAACTTTGATATGATGATCCCGAAGGCCCCTCAAAGCAGGCTTAGCAGCATGTTTGAGGCACACGTGGCACAAGTCGCACTTCCATGTCCACCTGCCAAGCCTGTCTCTGCCTCCTGGCTTCGCCGAGCGAGGGCGGCGACCAGCTCCCATGGTGCCACTCAAAGTCATGAAGCGTGCCCTGTCCTCACGAGGATGAGCACGAACAATGTGGTTGTCCCTCTTTTTCGTGAGCTCCGCTCGCGTCTTCGCAGCTAGCACCGTGGAGCAAAGGTTGCAAGGCCACTCGTGAACTTGTTCAGGTGGCTGGAGCTGAAGAAGCATGACGCTGAGCAGGCCGAGAGGCAGGTCGCTTGCTGCCCTTCCTGTGCCCTCCCTTGACAAAGGTCTGAGGAGCCGACTGCCACACAAGACTCCGAGTAAGCTTGCTGGCTTCGGCTTTGGTGAAGCCTAGCAACTGTTTGAAGATCCGTCTCTCGGCCAGCGAGGCCCACTGCCACTTCTCTTTCCATGAAAGTGACTGCAACGACAAGTGTCTCTGGCCTTCGCCTGCACACGCAATCGAGGCCTGAATGTGCTTCCGGAGGGCAGCGAAGGAGCTCCAAGCGCACATGCAAACTGAACAACCCCACTGAACATGAGTGCCGCGCTTTAGGGATGCCCTCGGCAGGTCCAGTCTTTTAAGAACATGCCCATGCCCTCGACAATCACGCAAGAACCGGAAACTGTCGAAGAGCTGCAAGAAGCTGCTGAGAGCGTGCCGAACCTGACAAAAGACGGCCTGCCTGTGCACTCATGGCTCGTACCTCAGCTTGGTCGACTCCCAAATTGCGCAGGTCGTGGATCAAGGAACCGACGTGCACGGGAGTAGGCGACCCAGGCCTTGACAAAGCATCATCCTCCTCCTGGCAAGCGATCTGCATCTCCTCGCCCTTGTGGTGCAGCTCCTCCGAAGGGACCTCGGCCTGAGCAGCCTCAACAGGAGCAGTAGAGGAAGCAAGCGATCTGCATATCCTTGCCCTGGCCGTCTTGTTTTACCGACGGAGAGGCTCGCACCACAGCCATGTGCCGTAGTGCATCGGACCTCCACCTCTGAGCAACACGCTCCGGCCATCCCAAACGCCTGGTAAGTGCAGCACGAACTTGACCAGGGCGTGACTGTGCAAAGCTAGAGCAGCTCCAACACAAATGTTCCCAAGACGGTAAAACATTGCGATCGCACCATGGGCAGTGAATCACACGATTCCCTTCGCCCGCAGAGAACTGCAGCTTCGTGCCTGTCAGCCTTCTGAAAAAGGCGGCTGGTGGCCTTGACCTGCTGCTCATCGTACAGCAAATGACCACGAAGTCCAACGCTGTCACGGCGGTTGAGCTGCGCGAACTCCTTAAGTTGCACACGACGCCACGACTCCCTTAGCAGATGCAAACCGTGCCGGCGGGCACGAGCCGTCCGCTGCCCAAAGTGAACGTCGCCAAGAGCAGGGTGACTCCAGTGCCAAGGCCCCTGCTCCATCCAGTCAAGGGACCGAAGAAAGGTCCGAACCCGGCCCTGCCAAGTAGAGGCCTCGGCCGGAACCCGCCACTGTTGAAGGACGCCTCTTGAGGCTGCTCTCCACAAAGCTGAGAAGGCCATTTGCCCAGCCGTGAATCGGCAGTCAGTGAAATGACCTTCGAGAAGACGAAGAAGGGGAACGGCTGCCTGACGGTGGCACTCAGCAGCACGACGAAACTTGCTCCAGTAAGCAGTGCAGTCCTTACCCAAAGTGTGGAAGGTGAACCAGCCGAAGCAAAACTTTGGAACAACCAACTGACGGAACAAAAGCCGCTTGTGCTGCCGGAACAAAGGCGACAGGATGATCCGCGAAGCCCGCTCCAGAGCATCCTTGGCTCGCTGCCGAGCCGTAGGCCTGTCCGCTTGGTTGCGACGAGCACTGAAGTCGATTCCCAGGACCCGGGTGGTCTGAGCAACGGCCTGAGGGCGTCGACGACACAAAGTAGCAAGTTGCAGAGGGTCACGCGCGACGACCTTGAGCTTGCTGTAGTTCTCCTGGAGGGCCAAACGTTGCGACCACTGCTCGGTGAAGGCAACCGCCTCCAAAGTCTCGTGAGCGTCGGTCCCCGTCAAACTCCTGTCGTCCAGAAAGAAGCTCGCGTGGATCCTCGGGTAAGTCCGATCCAAAGCTAGCGCAACCGACGACATGTAAGCAACCATCGCTAGCGGAGCCAGGGCATCCCCTTGAGGCAGGCTAGAACCAGCCCAGCAGGGCGCATCACTCAAGGCAGTGCGCCAGCTCAACCAGCGGCGCTGTTCACTCCAAACTTGCTCAAGCCACTTAGCCATACACGAGGGAAAGCCCAAGTGCATAAGCATCCGGATGGCGGCCTTCGGAGAGCAGTTGTCAAAAGCCTTCTGAAGGTCGAGACTCGCCAGCATGGCTCGATCACAGTGGAAGCGCTCCTCAAGAATGGCAATAGCAGTGCTAATGTCACGGCCAGGAATGGCTCCGTGACAACTCGCCGGAGCCCAAGCTTGAAGCCAACCTCGGAAGGCGGGTCGTTTTACCACTGCAGATCCCACCAAGCGCCAAACGGCGCAAAGAATCGTGATGGGCCTCATCTTATCGACTTGGCATTCGCTCGCCGCTCCCTCTTTTGGTAAGTGAACTTGCACCGATTCTTTCCAGATCGAGGGGACAAGGCCAATCCGCATGGCCGCGTTGAGGAGCGAAGCCAAGTCCTGAAAAGCCGCCTTGGGAGCCGCTCGAAGCTCCATCGGTGTCCAACCGGAAGTGCCAGCAGCTTTGGAATGAGAACCACGGGCCGCGGCCTCAAGCTCATCAGCGGTAAAAGCTTCCCATTGGAAGCCTTGTGGCGGGGAAGCCCATTCCTCAGCCCAGGCCTGAAACACTTGCTCATCCGGGGGCCGCGGACGATTCCACACTCCCTCCCACAGGTCACGAAGCAGCTCGACCGCCTCGACATCATCATTGGCCTTGCGGACCCCGGAAGCCAGCGACTGGCACGGCACCTGAGGCGTACGCTTAACCCAAGCTCTGGCACAGCCTAAGTCCTCGCGCATCCGGTCTCTCCAGGTCTGTAGACGAGCGGTCTCCTCACTAACAGCCAAAGCAGAGAGAGCGTGTTCAGCGGTGCTAAGCAGCACATGAGGATCCTCATTCCATGCAAGACCGGTTGGCCAGTTGCGCCAAACACGGGTCCAAAGGGCCCTGCAGTTAGCGGGTTTGGCCCGGCAAAGCTCTCGAAGGCGGCCAACTAGGTTGGCGAGACGACGAATCTTAAAGGTCCCAGGCTGAACCGAGGCACCTAAAACCCCCAACGAAACCCTACGAGAGGAAGAACCCTTGCAGCGGACCTGGCGTGGATCAGGAGGGATCATGCAGGATCTAGCCACGGAACCAAAGGCCCTTTCAAGTTTCGCGCACCACTGGCTCCAACAGGCATCCAAGTGGTCCTGAGAACGAATGGCAGGGCAGGCCTCGGCAGGTCCATAGGCCTCGGAGATCGCAGTGCGCCATCGGTTGAAGTTCAAACCCTTGGGCAGTCCAAAGTTACGGCAGGGCTGGAGCACCGAAGCCGCCCGCTGCTGAAGACAACCAGGAAGTCGAACGCAAACAGCCCTATGATCCGAGAGCGCGACCTCGTGCAGCCAAACCTGTGCCTGTGCAACCTCGACAACATGGAGATGAGCATTGGCCCCGCTGGGAGGCACGGCCATGCAAAAGTCGATGCAGCGTTTGGATTGCCACCTGGTAGGCAGCAAAGCCTGATCATCATCCCGAGCGGCGTAAACCCAGGCCTCAGGAGTCGCGGCAACAGTGCCCTCATGTGGCAGGTGATTGAAGTCGCCAAACGCTAGAAGAGGGAACCCTCCCGTGCTGAGCTCATGCAGGGTCTGAGCAAGGCCACCTTGGAGAGCTTGACTGGGCCGCTGCCACAGGCTACACACTCTCCAGGCACCACACTGGACAGCCACAAACTCGCCACCATCGGAACGAGCAGATTGCACCATGTGGGCAGGCAACCCCGGCTTAGTGAGCAACACAACACCACCGTGCGGAGACTGGCAGCCCCGGGTATCGAGAGTCAGTGATGCTGGCAGGCTCCAGCACCTATAGCCAAGCCTATTGCAGGTTCTGACGAAGGCGGCAAGCTGGTGCCCACGAAGTCTGGTTTCCTGCAATGCGATAAAATCATATCCCTCAGCAGCGAAAATGCCCGCAGAATTGAAAGCATTCGAAACACTATTCACATTCATGGAGCAGAACCGTGGCCCGGGGTGTGGTTCCAGGCCCTCCATCGTGAGGTCGCGCAGCCAACTTTGCCATCGTAAGCCAGGCACCTCAGCAGCAGCATCAGTGAGCCAGCTAGGACTGCACAGGCGAGAGGAGACACAGGTGCCGGGACCGGCCGTTGGCACCGAGGAAGGGGGCCTAAAGCCCTCAACAAAACCCCACAAGCTCAAAGAGAAAAGCCATCCCACAAGGCGAAGCCCAGCACTGTGCCACGACGAGCATACAGACGGACCGGGGTGAGGCTCGACCCCTTCACGGACGAGTCGGTCCTTTCGATCGTCGTGGTGGGCCTTTCTCTTCGCCGGATCCTCAAGAAGCTTACGCAGCCCTCCGTCCTCGAAAAGAGTCTGTCGACCTTGGAACCCTTCAACCGTACGGAACTTGCTGTTGCACACACCAGGATGAGCTTGCCGGATGTGGAGGGTCCGGGCACTGCGCAACTTGCCTTTGTCCTTGTGTTTGAGCAGCTCGGCACAGACATCGCATCGCCAACGGAAGAAGCCACTGCGATCAGCCTTGCATCCAATGTGTGGGTTCCGGTTAGATCCCAGCTGGTTGGTCAGGGTGAGGAAACGATCCCCTGGGATACCCCGATGGGCCCGGCAAATATGATTGTCACGGCGCTTCGTGAGCTGCTCCCTAGTCTCGGCAGTGAAAACAGCATGACAAGCCGTGCAAGGCCACTCCAAGATGTGGACACACTCCCCAGGACGGCGGGTTTTGCCACGGAGGCTTGGGGCGGCCAGTGCAGCCCTCTTAGTAGCCTTCTTAGCCTTTTTTGCTGAACGATTCTTGAAGAAGCAGCTGGGATGCCTCTGCCACACCGCGGACCTCGTGAGGCGGCTCATTTCAGCCTTGCTAAGTTCAAGAACATCCCGAAGAATCCTCTGATCAGCCTTGGAGTGCCATTGCCATCTAGCACGCCAGGCCAATGACTGCAAGGCCAGAGCCCGATCGGAGGCTCCGCCACACTGAGAGTTCCGACCCAAATCCGGAGCCAGATCAGAAAACGATTGCCACACCCGCAAACATGAAGCACAAGCCCACTGAGCTTTGGAGCCACCGTGGCCTGTTGATCGCCTCGCATAGTCCAGCCGCCGGAGCTGGTGACCGGCGCTACCAGAATCACGGATCCTGCCAAAATGCTTCCAAGCAGCAAGGAGAGTCTGGTACCGTCGTGGTGTGCTGTCCTCCCTGCGAGATTTGGCTGACAAAGCTGAGACCTGCAACTCATCATTGCAGAGCTCCTAACGGCTTCCTCTAAAGCAGCGGTATACCGAGGCGCTGGGGGTCCCGAGTGCCTCAAAGTAACCTCCTCCTCCCGGGCCGGGAGAGGGGGTTTGCTGACCGGGAGGTTTGCAGCAGCAGAGGAGCACGAAAGCACAGAAGAGCACTCAGACCTGGCAGGCAGCCAAGCACACGTCCTTGTCGACCGCCTCGTTTTCGAAGAAGCTGAGGCACTCGGCGGTGGAAGCCAGCACGGCGTGGCTTCGAGCTCAACGGTTTGTTTCCCCGCAGCACTGCTCCGCTGCACCGGGAAACGAGAAGAGGCCGTGGAGGAACCCGAGGAAGAAGTCGGCAGCCAGCCACCTCCTCTAGCAAATGTGCCCCCCCGAGTAATCATGCCAGAAGAGTACTTGATCCCGTTGCGCCAAGCCGAAGGCACCTGTAGGCTCCCTGGATCAATTAGCCGGTAGTGGCCTCGACATAAAACCAATCCAGCACAGGCCTCGCCACGCCCAAATACGATTGGGCCGCTCCACTCGTCTCCCGTCCATTGGTGGAGGATGATGGTCATCTTCAATCTCAGCGCAGCAATGTTGAGGGTGTCTCCACAAAGCCACCGTTGGTCGCGAGCGAAGCTCCCGACCCAGTCCTCGTAAGAAGTGGGCACCGTGCCTCCCTCTGTTTCCGGGGTCCACTTGGGATCAGGTCGCCAGGTGTCGGCCCCCAACTTTTTGAGAGCCACGGCTTGTGCCACCTCGTGCCGCAAAGTTCTGCCCCGGCTGATCACATTCTCCTTCACCTTAGCGAGCTCGTCGCCACGGGTAAAAGAAGCCGCAGCAGCCAGGCAGTTGTAGCCGCACCTCCCGTCACCTCCGAAATCAAGCAGCGGATAAGACGGAGGCCACGATGCCCAAGGATCCGGTGGCTGCTTCGGCTTCTTCGCCTTCTTTTCCTTGATCTCGCTGGCTTTGCCACCCTGCTCAGCATTCGGTGCCGTGCGCTTGCCATTGGCGACCTCGCTGCCCATACTGGAATCCGATTTCCCCTGCACCTCGGCCGAAGAGTCCTTGCCCAGCTCCTGTCCATTCTCCTCGTTATCCACATGCATGTCCTCGTAGTCCTCGTCATCGTCGGGGTCACTCGTCTGGAGAGGCCCGAAGAAAGAACCACGACCAAAATCAAAACCAGATCCCGAGCCACGATCCGTGCTCGGTTTCCACTTGGCGATCTTCTCATTGACCGGCCTGTAAGAGCCTGTACACCTCACAGCCGTGATCATGATGTTGTCGCCCTCCACGAATTGTGCCAGGGCCGGTGAGGGAGGTATGGCACGAAGGCGCCAGTCCCTGTTCCGCCCAGGTCTATGCAAAACTTGCAATTCCCGCCACCCTGCACTCTCAAAGAAAGCGGTGACGTCCAAATCCCGCCAAGACTTCGGGATATTGCTGCACTCAAAGGTGCCAGTAGTGATAGGCAGCTCCTCCCGGCTACCAAGACGAATGCCAAGGTTGCTGCCCCCGCCTTTGCGCCATGCGAGCGGCCTGCCAGCTTTCCCAGCCAGCTCCACAACCCTTTGGGCATAAGCGCCCGGGGGCTCATCCTCATCAAGCGGTGCCTCCCATTTCACAGGAAGCTTCTCGCCCCCGTCCCTGGCTAAAGGCTCAAAGAAGTAGCCGGCGGTCCCGCTCTTCTGCATAACCGTCTCGAGGGCACTTTGAAGAACTCTGCAGTAGCCTTGGTAAAACACGTCCCGGTAACCTCCACGACTGCCCAAGTTGCGGAGCTCCCAGCCATAGGAGGTGTGGCCCGCCGTTCCCAGGATCTCGTTGAGCTTAGCTTTAGGATCCTTGGCCAGATTGGCCCAGGCTCCTTCATCAAACACCAATTTGGGACAACATACCCTCAATGTCGCCAGCTTGTGCTTGTCAGGGGTGGTGGCCGCACGGGTGCCTGCCACTCCAAGGCCCTCCGGGAACCCACTGCCAACGAAGGTCTTGAAGTAGCTCTTTGCCTCGATCTTGCCGCTCGCCGTCCTGACCATAAGTTTCACCGGTACGCCCAAGTCGGCGTGAGTGGCATCCCTGGTCTCAAAGACAATGCCAGCCATCTTGATCTCCTGAAGCTCCGCAAACTCTTTCACTTCCACAGCCTGGGTGCTGTCTTGAACACGAATCCATACGGTCTTGGTGTCTCCCTCGGCAAGGCGCTTCTTGAAAGCATTAAATGAGACCATAGGGAACTGCTTGAAGTTGCTGGTCAAAAGTTCGACAGACTCCCCACGGTCCTTGCCTTTGCCCTGTCCTTTGGGAGGCTGCACGGGTCCATGGCCCAGTTTGCCCTTTCCCTGGCCACCGCCCTTGTCATAGTCCTTGCCTTTGCCCTTGGCTTTGCCATCTCCAGCCACCATAGCCGCCCACGAAGATGCCGGAGGGGTAGGCAACGAATGCGGTCCCTTGCTCTTGCCCTTTCCTTTCCCTTGTTGGCCCTTGCCCTTGCGCTGGACCACTTGCCAGCCATCATCTCCCTCATCTTGTGCAGCAAGAGTAGGTGTCCTCACACTCGGAACGATCCCGCCCTTGCCTTTGTCCTTCTCGGGTTTCTTGGGCCGAAGCTGAGCCTTTTGAGCAACTTGAACCAGCTGCCCAAGGCGACTCAAAAGGCCTCGCGGTTCTTTGCGGGCCCGGTCGATTAAACTCTGCAGCGCCTGCAAAAGTAGCTGGTCCTGATCCTCGCACGCCCGGGAAGAGGAAGCAGCCTCGGAAGCCCCGGGACTTGAAGAAGCGAAACTCTGCAGAACGGCGGCCAAGGCTTCAAGAAGCTGGCCTTCTCCCCTTTTTCGATCAGTGGCGGCCGCGCCACCACCTCCTCCTCCACGAAGTGTCGTGCCGATACCGGGGCTTCCCGGTTGGGTCTGTTGTGGAGCGGGCACAGTATGCCGAAGCAAGGCCTTCCGCTCCCAGATCCATCCCACCGTGTTGAAGTTGCCCTTCTGGAGACCACGACGAAGCCGAAGTCGCCGAGGACGGTTGATAGAGCGTCGCCGGCCAGCGCACCACGAAGCTGCCCAACAAGCACAGCAGCGGGTAAACCGACGACACAGGGCCTTGCCTCCCACAGGTTTGGCCCTTTTTGTCCGAAAAGCCCGAGGCCCCCAAAGGTGAACCCGAGGAGCGAGCTTCTTCCTGATAATCATGCTCAGACCGCTGTTGCGAGACGGCCTGGTGCCTGCATTCACATGACGTTCTCCACCAGGGTAAGCCCACGTCTGATGGAAGAAAACCTTGCAAAACAAACAGCCGACAGACCACCACCAAGGTGGCTAGCCAAGGCGTAGCAACCATCCGCTCAACACACCAAGGTAAGCGGCAATCGCCATGGACAGCTTCGCTCCCAGAGCTGGAACCTCTGGGCCCGCTACCGCCTTGCTCATGGCAGAGCTGGAGGCGCTGTCACGGTAGCGCATATCCTCGCCCTCTGGTGCCCGGAACCA